TTTATAAATAAATATTAAAAAGCTCTAGGGATATGGCTCAGTGCAAAGACCCTGGGTTAAGTCCTCAGGAAAGAAAGAAGAAAGGAAGGAGGGTGGAGGGAAAGGGAAGGACAGAACAGTAAAAACAACAGTCCAAAGGAAAGAATCCTACCCAATGGAATAATTGAAATTAATGCTCTAAGCTGGCCCTAGGGTGCTCAGTGTATACTGAAGAAGACAGACTATAAATGAAAGTGGAGCTGGAATGAAGAGGTAAACAGATGTGCCATAGTGCCTGAGTTGTCTTCTCCTCCAGCTCCTGCTTCATAAATCTGCTGGACCTGAGTGCTGCAGTAGGCTCTTCAGAGGTAAGGAAGAAGACAACAGTAACAGGACAAGAGAGAGCACATTTCTGAACCACACTTTCAGACACTCTTCCCTGCGCCGTCCTCCAAAAGGTGGCAGCAGCCATATAGTCTGAAGCTCCCTTGGACTCCAGAGGCACCAGCTGAAGGCGGGGTCCTTAGCCCCTGCCCTGTGGGAAGTGAAGGAGCCTCAGGATGGGGCTTATGGAAGGAAGTCCATCTTCACAGGCACACACCCAACAATAGGGCTTTGCTTCCCACCACCATGAGGTGAGCAGCTTCCTATGACTGCTCTCACCCTGACCTCCTGCCTCAGGTGCAGCAGGCCCAAAGGAGGGAGCCAAGTAACTGTGCACCTGAAGCCCCGACCATTAGATGCAGAGGTGCACATTTAAGTCTCACAACATCAAGGAATGAAGTCGTAAACCAAAGGAGGGAGTTAGGAGAGTTCTGCTAGAGATAAGAAGAAAAGAACAGCTAGCTTCTGGATTTCCAGCAAGGGTTCAGAGTGCATGGGTCCTGAGGCCCTTTGTCGGGGTATTGGGTCATATAGCAAGGGTGCATGGGAAGAAGGATGGCATTCCTGGGGAGGGATGGGTACGGGTCCATCTGTCCTGGTCGCCCACCCCTGCATCTGCTGCCTCTGTGGCTCACTGTGCCAGGCGGTGCTGGCTCAGTCTGATCTCAAGCTGCTATTTATCCCTAGGAGGCTGCAGGCCTGGCCACTGTGTCTCCACTTCGAGGCCTGGCTCTCTTCAGCTTCACCTCCAGCCCCAGTCCTGCTGCATCTCATCCTCGCTGATTCCCTCTCGGGCCCATCCCTCTCTGCGCATTAATTTCTAACTTACATAGCTGTCTATAATGTCATGACCCAACCAAATGTGAAAAGTGCAATGTTTCTGCAGATGCAACAGGCAATTTATCAAAGGCTGGGAATAAGCCTGCAAAGGAATAAGGGTAGAATTTGGAATAAATGCAAAAGAATAAATACATTAACAATTATTAAAGAACAATATATTATTGTGATTTCTCAAATTGGCCTTGATCCTCTGAAAAATATGGTATTTGAAATTATTGTTAACATTAACAATAATGTTTCTAATTTTTCTGTGAAAATTTTCTCTGAAGAAGCCAATAGCAGATGTCTTACCTATAAAGGATACATCAGAGGGAGAAGTGTGCAAAAAGAAAACAAAATTTAATATATGTACTTGAATCTAAAATATCACTTTGAAACAAATGAGAATTCCAGTGCTTTGATAGCAACAGAGAGCTAGGCCATTTCCATCCTGCCTGTAAAAATACTGGTAGTTACTAATGAGGATTCACATTGCCTATGAGAAGGAAAATTTCTTAAGGATACCCATATTTTTATTTGAAGTAAGTTGATTTCCCACTAAACTGTCAGCAGATCTTTAACTTTGTGTCCTATTGTATATATTTGCTTCCTGGCATCAAACTGGGTTTTGAATTCTAACTCCATCACTCACTGTGTGACATTTGGGAAATTAATGTGTCCCTACCGATGTTTCTTCATTTTAAAAATGCGAATAATAGTGTCTATTCTAAGCAGTTGTTGTGAGAATTAATAAGAATTCCTGTCAAGCCCTAAGAAGAAAATTGCCTGGCACATGTGAAGAGTTCGAGAAATGCTAACTTATTAATATGTTATTATTAATATAATTTTTTAAGATTTTAAGAAATTATTACTGTCCTAGATTAGGTTAAACAACTACAAAAGTATGATTTTACTCAATAATATTGTAAGTGCCAATAAAACCATGTCATCACCATATAAAAGACCACACTAATTTTTATATGAAACCACGCTTCTAGCAAATGAAAAACAGCTGTCAAAATATGATACAATTTATAAAGAAAATCATAACTCTGTACCTTTCTCCCACACAAAACCAACCGTTATTTGATTAATCAAAAGATTATTATAAATAACCCCAGGTCTTGCCATTATATTTAAGACACAATTTAATATGAATGTGAGTAATAGAGGAAGATATTGACTCAGTTTTATTTATACTCATTTTGCCCACAAATTAAAGGTCAAGTAATTCTTGTTTATAGTGTTAAAGTTGCAATTTCACATTGTTGTGAAGACATTTTACAAGGTGATAAAGAGTATAAGTCACTAATAGAATAAACATGCTTAAATTTCCCCTGCTTTAGACAGACATTAACATAATAAATCAAATTTGCAATTCACCAAGAAAGACATGGCTTGTATTGTAAAAGGAAATAGTTAATTGCACACCATAGGTCTGTAATTTTTCTATTAAAGAAAAGGATGGATAATATTTTAGGTAAAACTCAGCATTAACAAATGAAGAAATTGATAAAGCTTATAAGCCACCACATGAAGTTGCTGAATGATTCAAGTGATATAACTTTCCTCACCAATATCTCAAACTCTTAAAGCAGCTACAGGGTACAAGGAGTTGTGGGGAAGGCCTGGGAACCTGGCCACCAATCCTTTGCTCCACTTCCCAAAATCCTACCTAATCTTATTGCTGTTTGATGGAACTTTCCATATAATGTTATTTTTTCAGTTTTATTTAACAGTGAGAAGGCTTTGGGAATTTAAATTTGATAAAATTCAAAGGTGAAATTTCTGATTTTTGTTTTATTTGTCAAGCACTAACTGCTGTCTTTGTCATTTAAGTTTGTTTAGATTTGCATTGTTTTGATTTTATTTGCTACTGAGCAGTCTTTGTCAAGAAGGGTGGTTTCCACATTTACTCAGATAATGTGTGTATCAAAATATTTTTAAGTTACTGAAATTGCTGACAGGAAATAAGAGGAAATAACTCCTTCTTTAAGCTACCATCAGGAATTGTAATAACAACAGGTAACCAACATGTCTTAAAGCCCCTTTGTTCACTCTAATATTGTCACCCTTTCCATGGGTAATATTAGCTACAGCTTGCTTTGTTCCAGAAATGAACGTAAGAGACATTTCCATTACCTTTTATTATTCAGCCCAATGCATTCACCCTGAGGTCAGATAAGCAGATAGTTTTAACATGAAATGGTCTACACTGCTGGTCCCCAGGGAAGAATACAGCTAACATCTTCACTAATGCTCTGTACTTGTCCCTAAGGGAGAAGGTCCACAAAGATGGAATCCATTGCAGTCATTCTGGAAATGCCTCCTAGAATGTGATATCACTTCTGATATTCAGGGAACAGGGGTATGTAGAACAAAAATAAAATGATCATCAAAAATATGTATGCAAAATTCTGAGTGCACCTGACTACGGCGATTCAGGATAAGAAAAATCTCTGTTCTATAAACCAAGAAACCAACAACAAACCCAATCCTAATCTCAGCCAAACTTTTAACCTGCTAGCAGGAACAATTAAAAAAAAAAAAAACTAAAACAGTGAATGTGATAAGGGAATGTTCCTCTTTTCCAGTTGCATGATACAAAAAGCCAAGTAAAGAGCTATTACACGACTGTCTTTTCTCTAATGACTTCACCCGACCCCATTCCATAGCACAGGTAATTTAGTGGATCTCAGTGAAAAGTCACTTACAGTTCATCAAATTTGCTACTTCAGGTGCAGACTCTTGTTCCAGATCTTAAAAGCTCAGCTCATGCAGTTCAAGGCAGACTCTTATAGTCTTCAAGGACCAACTTCCACATTCTGCCAGGTTACTAGTAAGAGAGAAGCATTAGGAAGATTGGCAAGAATTCTCTCAAGAAGACTAGAAACAAATTAATCAATTAAAAACACTTAAAGAATAAAATATTGTAAGTAAAAGAAATTTTTAAAAAATACAGAATCCCATTAAGAATTGAATTAAAAATGATAAAATATGAGATGAGATCTGAATTGAGAAGACTCTATGTAAATAGTTTTTAAGATTAAAAAAAGAATGCAAACGATATAATTTTTTAAAATGTGAGTTTAAAATGGAAAATAGAACATGAAAAATTGTGTGGGAGGAGTAAGGTTCAAATATTTAAGGACCTAAAAACTAAAAATAGTAACACTATAAGATAAATGATGGAATAACACATTTTTTTCAATGAAAAGAAAATGCTTATAAATTTAAATATATATGTATATGTAAGAAAATACAAAATTAAAGGGGAGAAGTAAAATATCTGAAATACTCCTATCAACATTTCTTGAGGGCTTTCTGTGGGGTGAGTTAGTTTCTATTTTCCTGTGCCTACTGTAATTTCTACCTTGTGAATGCTACTCCTGGCACTTTTTGGCTTATCACGTTGGTTGTCTCACATTTATGGAATGAGAGTGATAATGCATTCCCTCATGTAGCTCTTGCGAGGCCCGAGTGAGTTAATTCCTGTGACGAGCTGAGAACACAACATGGGTAGGTGGGAGGCAGGGGGAATCCACGCGGCAGGGAGGAGACCGGAAGTGAGGCTTGGCAGGCAGCCACAGAGCAGAGCAGGAGGAGCAGCGAGAGGAGGCCGGGAGCGGAGTGTATCGCTTTCCCTGTTCCTGAAAGGTCCTCTCTGGCCAAGTAGAGGGAGAGGAGCGCTTCTGAGGAAGCCATCATTGAAGAGAGTGAAAAGGTCACGATTACGTGGACACCTCCGGGTTCACTGGCCCCACTTCTGCGCCCCTTCTCCAGGCGCCGACACCTCGCCGTCCTGGAGCCCTCGTTCTCGGAGCCGGAACCGGAACTGGATCACAGTGGGCAGCACAGCCACAGCGCCCAGAGCACCAGTCCTTGAGAGTTCAGACGCCCAATTAGTGTCCTTATAAAATGGTGTCAGGGAACCTTCTCTAAAATCCCGTATATCACCCTTAGGACACTGAAGTATCCGTACGCCGAATCATCCATCTTCCTGCAGTAAGTTTATCGCCGCCACGTGTTGCTAGCTTTGCCCTGACAAGAGGCCCCGAAATCTAAGGCGCCCTCACAGCGCGGGCGACCCAGCCTTCCTAGGCGCTCACACCTGCTGAGAGATATCATACCTGAAACGAGCCCGGCAGCCTTCTGGGCGGGAGGAGTCGGGCCCGTGCCCGCTGCCCACCTGGCCACCCTCAGAACCGTGCTGGGCTCAGTCTGGGCCACTCACCATCTCCAGCCCAACTGGGTAGCATGTCCTTTCAGGGCCTGCATCACCCTCTTTTTCTTTTTGGTCAGGACTCTCTTTTCAGGCTTCCCGAGGATACCTACGTAGGCAAGTAGAAAAATGAGGAAGAACAGCTGCAATTCGGTAATAGAGTGTGTGGTACAGGATCCATAACCAGAAAAGCCACCTAGGGGCAGAAATGTGTGAGACCTTTCCTCCCCATCACAAAGGAATCGCAGCCCACACTGCTATAATAAAGACAAATAAATCAGGAGTAACAGATTTATTTAATCATAGTTTTATATGACACAGAAATGAAGATCCAAAGACCCAGGGAAAACTGTTTTCACGTTTAGTTTCCACGAAGCAGGCACAGCCCTGTAGAAATATGCGTGAACAAGAGTGTGACCCAGCAGTAAAGGACTGATGGCAACCCAGTGCAGCATTTGTATGCACCGGCTTCTCGGCCTCTTCCTGCTGCGTTCCAAGTGTGGGACAGGATCCCTCCAGAAGGACAGTGTGTTCTGGGTGGGGAGAGATTACAGTAATATTTCTAGGTTTCATGCTGGCTTTGAAGAGGGTGCTAGCTACTACAACTCTCATACCCCCGGGAAAGAGAAATTCTAGTTTCTATGGCTTGATTTGAGAAATGAAGCAAGAGACAAAGGAGGCAGGTGAAGGGAGGAGGAAGATTTTGCTTCAGAAGGCTTCCAGTGTCCTTCACAGGACACACAACGGGATGCTGTTTTCTGAGCCCCACAGAATGAAAACCCACTTTGGCTCTTTTAATAAAATTTGAAATCACAAGTCCATTCTTGATTCAAGTGATAGCATGCTATCTTTATGCTTAAGAGCATAAAGAATTTGGTATATTGAATATTAATATAATCCTAAAATGTACCATGTCAATTATTGTGTTGAAGAAAGTGTTTTGAGGTGTTTTCTTTAATGAAACAACTCATGAAGGGTACTCTCCCAATGGAAAGAAGTGAGGGAAGGTCACTCATATGTGTGGAGTGTGACCATTTAGTACAGAAAATGACCACAAGGTCTGCCCTAAGAAATACCATGTCTGCTTTGTGACTGCATCTTCCATGGCTGGACTGCTATGTGTGCTGTAGACCAGTGGTGGGAACCCACGGCATGCATGCTGTAGCAAGCTGTTTGTATTATTGAAAGCTCTAAAAGATTTGCCATCACCTTTTGAATAAGTTTCTTTAAAAGAAATCTTATATGACCAATACCTAGGCCAATTCAGTCATCTCCATGTTTTCTGATCAGTGCATTTTTACCATGACAATACTGCATCCAGTATTTGGTTCCAGCAACCAGTAAGATAACAATCTTTACACCATCTCTCAAACTAATCAAGATATTTAATGGCTTCTTAGATACATACTGTTGCAAGATCCTGGTTTCCCAATATGCTAATGAAGTAAATTTTCCCTTTTCCTTTTCTTTTTGTTAAATAATACTAACCCTCAGTGTAAAACAAACACAAAATTTCCATCAAAGCATTCTAGAAAAAGACCCATGTTATCAACCATTTGTTAATTCTAATTAATTTGCCTCTAATACCCTCCCCACTATGAAAATAGATTCTTTAACAAACATTAAATAGTTTAACCAGGAAAAAGGTCAGGCTTGGTCTGTTGTAATACAGTCTGATTAGCCAAAGTGATTGACTTCTCACAGGAATCTATACCTGTCACTTTTTATGGACATGCTGCCATTCTAAAGCATCTATGAGGGAGCCACATCCTAAGGTCACTCTGAGTCTTGACTTCCAGTGGTTCTTTTAGGAAGTGCAGAAAGTCCAGAAGTCTCATGGTTTTGTTTTTTTGTTTGTTTGTTTGTATGCTTATTTGTAGTAAGATTTTTCAGTCTCTTCTCAAAATAAAAAAAATGTGAAAATGGAAGAGTTTAATAACAATATCTTAGTAATACCACATACAACGTTTTACATATCTCCAGTATCTTTACCTCCAGTCTGGAAATAAAATCAAGGAAAATTATTTCCCCTCAATAATCTACCCCACTCCCCAGGGGGAAAGTGTGTGTTGGCGAAAGTTAAACACACTTGGCTCTTTACCCAGTCAAAACAGCTGAGTCAAAGTAACCCTAGCTATTTGTGACACCTTGGTATGAGCTGTTTAGCATAAAGGTACAAAGCTTCTCCTCCATCCAGGGTAGCCTTCTTTCTTCCCACACCAGATTCTTTCTCCTCAGATCCAACACAGAACATAAAAGCAGTAAAAGAAATAAATATTGAGTTTGTAACACAGCAGTTACCTGATTTATCTCCCTCTTCAAATGAAACACTACAAATACAACAGAAATGGAGAAAAGTAAATTTCTCATACTATGCTCCACTTCTCCCCCATCTATCTTGTATGACTTTTTCAAACTATCACCCTTCAGTAATATTATTACTAACACCTACTACCAGCAATTACTTGCCAAGGGAAACTAAAATGCAGTCCAGTGCAATCACCTTAATTTGACCTGGTAATTTAAGCCATCTCTTAAGGTAAGGCAGTCTCTGCCTCTACGACTCCAATAAGTTCTGAATGTCCTGTTCCACCCCTTCTGTTCCTCTGTAGAGCAGGCAGGGACATGTCACAGGAGGCAGCAGAAATGGGGCGGGGATCTGGACTAGAGTTGGTCTTGTACTTCACAGCGCAGCACTTTGGTCCATTTATCTTTCTTCTGGGTTGGTGTCAGGGTGGGGGGTTGCTATGCTGGCTCTCAAAACTGAAGAATTTGATCTTATCCCTTGGCCTCTGATCTCACAGTACTAGAATTCTCCTACCTTCTGACTTTGCCTCCCACCCCCAACACCAGCCCTCTACACCCCCATCTTCCCCCAGGGCACATAGACCTTTCTAGCCAAACTGAAACTGGTGTACTGAATAAACCCAATGTGATCAAACAACTTTTATTTCCCTTGTTTTAAACATTTTTTGGATGAAGAAAATCTTTTCCCCCTCTACACAGGTAAGTGGAAGACTGTTTCACACTTATAAGCAATTCTTCAGCCACTGTAACTCAAAAAACACTGCAATTAGGTAAATTAAGGTAGTTCATGTAATAATGAAAACTCAAAACATGATTTTACCTAGGATCTCCTCTCCTCCCACTTACTTGGGCCTAAAGCGGCTGCTTGCAGTGAGAGAAGAGAAGCAGGATCTTCCTTCCCTCGTTCTTGCTCTGCTCCTTCTCTTCTACAAGTTTGGTAAGCAAGAGCCAGACATTCCGGTCTGATGCTTGAAGAGAGGATTAAGGGAAAGGGTGTGGACACAGGGAGGTGCTGTTCTTCTGGTGAGGGGGTCTTTCGGAGGAAAGTGTTTAACCCTTTCTTTCTCACAGGCCGTTCCGTGGGCTCCTCGTAAATTGCCTTCACTGGAAAATTCCGATTCTGCCCCACTGACAGGTAGACAACGCCCTTCCTGAGCCCCCGGCTTTCACAGTGACCCCTCAGTTTGGACTCTCAGTGTTAGAAGGTACCTCATCCTGCCAACTGTGGGCAAGGCGCCCCTTCCACATGGACAACACTCACACATCCTTTGTTCCAACAAGCCCCAGGAGTGACAGCCATCTCTCACACTGCCACCTCTACCCTGCTGTCACACAGGGGTGGCAGGCACGGTTTTCTGCTCAGGGAATTCATCTGAGCTCTCAGTGTGGTCCCATTAAGCCTTCCCAAACTGAGCTTGATGTGAAAGACAGAGAAATGCTGCCACCCCCCCACACACACACCCCTTTCCCTTTTGAAAGATATCCCCACGTTCACTTTCACTACCTTTTAGTAGTCTCTGTGAATGAATGATCCCCTGCTTCAGTGATGGCAAACCTTTTAGAGACAGAGTGCCAAACTGCAACCCAAAGCCCGTGTATTTATCACAAAGTGCCAACATTGCAATTCAACCTGAACACTGAAGTTTTAGTTTAGGAAAGAAACAACTCTACAACTCCATACTAATGTCTTTTGTCTTGAAAACACAATAACATGCGTGCCATAGATTTGTCATTTATAAGTTCTGCATGTGGTAATCTAGCACCTCGCTTTGGAATTTCACATAAAGCAGGTTTTACTGGTGTGAGTTTTAACACTTGACCTCTACCTCCTGTTATGTATCTAACTGCCCTCCCTGTGTCTTACTTCCTTTGTGTTTTATGCTAAGCTGTGGCACCGGGCAGAAGCTACTTTTCTCCTATGCATCTGCAGTGTTTTCCTCCCAAGTCCAAGGAAGCTGGTCAGTATCACTCAGCTGCTTTCCAAACTGTTTGCTCAAATCAAAGTCACTCTTCTCTTATCCATGTCAAAGTGTACTGGGGGGTGACACCCTGTTGACTGATTTTCCCGTGGCCCTCTGTCCTTTTGCCCAATGTTCATCAGGACAGCACAGCTGCTTCTAATAACCCTCCTCCCACCAGCTATGGCTGGGTGCTCACCACACCCTCTGATTAAGTCTGTCAGGCCTTGTCACCAGGGAACAGAATCGCATTGTTTCCGTCAGAAATACTGAAATAAGCAAACCCACACAAATGTCCTGCGTTAGGTATATCAATGCTATGATTTCCTGAAATTTGCCTATCTGATCATCTTCATAGTTAAATTAAAATTTGGGTTATTACAGAATCACGTGGGGAGGTTGTTAAAATACTGATTTCTATCCACACTCACTCTTTGCCCCTAGAACACTGAAGAAGAATTTCTGAGGCCAGAGCTGGAGATCTTGTTCACCACCATGATGGTCCACTGGGCTTGGAAACCTCTTTCTAACCTCTAATATTGAAAAGTCTCTCTAAATACTACAAACTACTTCCAAAACACTGAGAAATATTAGCTGTTGACAAGAATCCTCTGTGTTTTAATTTCATATTTCTAGCAATTTCTGGAATATGAAGATTCATAGATAGCTCTAAAGTTTGACTACTGATCAATAGTCGGTGTAAGCCTATTCATTAAGCCTTAATTTCAGGAAAGTCAAGCACATGCTTTTACTCCACAGTAGTGCACTCAATAGTTTTATAATAATTTGAATCGATTTGTGAGAAAATTGTATTGCCTTACAATTTTTTGTTGGAAGTTCATAGAAAATATTAATAGATTTTGATACTTATTTTTTTGGTACCGGGGATTGAACTCCAGTCCTTGGGCTTGGGAGGCAGGCGGCAGAACCACTGAGCTAAATCCCCAGCCCAGATTTTGATTCTTTTTAAAAATGCCAATGGAACAAAAGCTGAATATCATTTTGACAAAAAATGTGATTTTCACACTATGAGAGAATTCAAAATCCACTGGATACCCAAGGAATATACAATATGTGAATGGAATACATCCAACATGAGGATGAGAAAGTCTTCATTATACCTGTTCCCAAACACATTCACTGATTTCACATAATGACACAGAAAGTGACTTAGAATAAAAAAATTTTAACAGACTTGTATCTTAAGAAGTTATGCCTCCTGGGCTAGGGATTTAGCTCAGTGGTTTCGCCGCCTGCTGCACAAGCACAAGGACCTGAGTTCGATCCCCAGTACCCAAAAAAAAAAACAAAAAAGAAGTTATGCCTCCTGATGATGCTTTTTTTGTACAAATAAAATTGAATAGTTCAGATACATCTCAAAATCTCATAGGTCATAATCTGAAGATGATCTTGCCATCAACTGTTCCTGCAGATAGCACCAGGGAGCCCTTTGTCTGTAACATAAGCCGCTGTTTGTCCCAGGAATTAGGCTTCAAAAGTTATCAGGTAAGTACAAAATAGAGAAAAAGAGAGAGAAAATAAACTGTTTCATATTTATCCCTGGATTAGGGGAAGCCATTGCTGTCTTTCCCACAGTTAAATAGATTGTACCCTAAGGTCTTAAAAAAGTGCTTACAAAGAAATTAATTCTATAACTATATATATTGGTAATTTCCAAACTTACTTAAGATCATTTCTTTCTTTATTAAGTTTATTAGTACATTTTAGGTATACAATATGATGACATTCATCATTGGGAATTTGTAACTGTACATGATGAATCTTGGTTCTTATTTTTTCCCCATTACCCTCCCTCCCTTCAACCCCTTCACCCCCCCCTATTTTCAAAGACTTTGTTTCTCTTTTTCCTTTTCTCATATTTTTTCCTTTCCCTATGTTTTTAGCAATCTAAAATGAAGGAGAAGTAAATATTCTCACTCTCTAAAACAACATCTTTAATCTTTTTATACCCATCTCTGCTGAACACATTTTCTATGATCCATTGCATCAGTAAATGTTTTAGCTTTCCAACAGCCCTGGAGCATCTGCAGCTGTGTCTTCATTAGGTCTCTTGCATTTCACAAGCTTCATTCTAGGGTATTTTATTTTATATGAACACACCGTGAGGGACTGACAGTATTTCTCATAGATGTTACCTATACCTCAGCAAATGCACATCTGAATTAACCTGTACTTGAAAGAGCTTAATTGGAACTTAGTTATTAAACTTCTCCTTAAAAAGGTGTTTTTAATGGAATTCATACAGAGTAGCAAAGTTAAATGAGGTGATTCTGAATAGTCATTGAGAATCATAGCTACCTTATTTAATTGAGGACCTACTGGGATTTCTTGACTAGAACACTTTCTTGTATATCTATCACCACATATTATAAATAAGGATCACCCTAAATGGATAGTTTTGTTTTAGGCTATCAATTCATAACATCAAAAATAGTGCTCTCCAAGATAATGCTCCCCTCTTTGGGGCGTATAGGAGGCCATTCATGTGACTGAAAAGAAAACATTAAAATATATATTCAGCTTATTTTTTGAAAACAAAAATGAAGCTTTACCAGTTTTCTAGTGTTTAGTATTCAGATGAACACTCACGCTTTTATCCAATTTGGTTATGTGGTAACCATTGTCTGTGGGAGATCAGGAGACTCGAGAGGAAAAGTCGCTCCACAGTGTGGATGGTGGCAAGTGCTTGCTTGCAGGGCAGTGTATATACTGAAGTCCAACCAACTGCCAGATTTATGGATTGCTTTTGGTTTCGGTTTTTGTACTGGAAATCGAACTCAGGGCCTTGCATTTGCCAGGTAGGTGCTGTGCTGCTGAGCTACACTCCTGGCTCCATTTATGGATTGTTTTCTATTCTGAGCTAAAGGTTGCTCATGAACTAGAGAAGTAGTTTAAAAATACTCCTGCCAAGACCACAGGTTAAATTTTGGTAAGATAATTGAAATAAATTTATTTATTTGTTTTTGGCTTATGTTTAAATTTCTATGTATATTTTTAATGTGTACAGCATTAGTAAAATGGTAAATGTATTATATACACATATATAAAGATATTTCAGGACTGCATGTTAAAATATTTTATCAGTGGATGCATTAATAAAATAATTTATAGATAGTTGACTTAAAAATAGCAGAAAGAAGAAATACTACTAAGTAACTGACAAATAAAATACATACAGTAAAATCTTGGCTTGTGTGTATAATTCATTCCAGAAACATGCTTGTAATCCAAAGCACTTGTATATCAAAGTGCATTTCCCCATAAGAAATAATGGAAACTCAGATGATTTGTTCCACCACCACAAAATATTCATATAAAATGATTATAATACATAATATAACACAAAATAATAATGAAAAATAAACAAATTAATCTGCACTCACCTTTGAAAATCTTCCTGGCTGGTGTGAGGGAGATAAGAGAGAGGAGGGTTACCGTGCAGGGTGACTTTCACTGTCACTAACGGAATCACTGCTGTCTACTGGCTCAATGGAATCTTTTTCTTTTCATGCAACTTTAATAAGGAACATTTCCAATGACACTTTTGCCTCTTTTTGAGGATTTTGTGGAAATATGACATTGCACATTGCATTGTTGTTAAAGAGATTCATGACTCACACTGCTACAGCTGTTTTGGCAGTGCTTTTATACAAAATTTTGCATTGTTCCCAACATTTTACACATCTCCCCAATCTCATTTGAAGTGAGGGATTCCTTCACCTTTTTCTCCTCCTCCTCTGCAGATGAGATCTCCTCTGTAACTTCTTGCTGTTGGGAGACAATCACCCACAATCCCACAGAGAGAGGGAGAGAAAGAGAGCCACTGGCTCAGCTGTGATCAGGTGTCATTCATCATCACTTTCTACACATACTGCAAGACATGGTTTGTTTATCAAGTTAAGATTTATTAGAAATGTTTGCTCATATTTCGGAACACTGGCAGAACAAGTTACTCACAATCTAAGGTTTTACTATATATTGTTTGGATGTGTTTTCCTGTTTTCATACTTATTGTAAATATAAGTATGCTTTACATTTGGGGGATACACAGAAAGGAAAAAATAATCTTAAGACCCCACTTTGAAGATTTGGCATAAAGCTCCAAAGTTCTAAATAACCCTGTTATCTATCTTCCCTTCTTCAAAGTATTTCTTCACTCCCCAGTTCAGAGTGAGTAGAAAAATATCAACTTGAGTCATGATACTGTGAGGTTCTGTGTGATTCTGGCTTAAGGAAAGCCAGGGGTATTTAATCCCAGGTTGAAATATGCCGAGGAACGAAGGAAGTATTGGGAGGAAAATATCACTGCAATAGTTGTCCTGGCCATGCCTGAAATTATAGCCTTGACCACAGTGCCTAGGGTGGGATGAAGGAGATAACTAAGTAAAATTCAGCTGATGGATTGAGCATAAGAAGGGAAGAGAGAAATTCTCCCGTGTCTAAATTAAACCTAGTGTGACTAAAAGATCAAACACTATAATTCTAAAAAATACCAAAAACTTCCTGTGATTATAATGAAATCCAGAAACAAGACACCTGTGAGCCACTTATCGCCTGATTGAATGTCTCATTCTTTTTATAAAAGTTCAAATATTTTCAAGGAGTTGACCTTATCATTTTACTAGGAGTTCTCCTAAGGGTAAATTTTTAGTGGAAATAATTTGATTGAGGATTTCTACTTCAAGGGTGGCAAAAGCCTAAGAGAACTCTAGCATATGAAAGTTATCCTTTCTTGTCTACTATAATTTTAGAAGGTATCTTGAAGTTGTTCATGTGATCAGACTTTATGTGCAACATGTCATGAGTGAGGGAGTATTTATGATCAAACTGCTTTCCTAAAATGTATCATAAAATCAGGCTTATAGTAAATGTTCTTCAGACCATTATCTACCATAATTCTCCAGTCCTTTTCTTAGCTGTTTTATTAATAGTATACAATCCTCATTAATACACCATTACTTGTTAAAAACAGACCCATTCAGCAGAAGCCAGGTTCTCCTTCCACTGTCCGTTTTAAAAGATACTTAAAAATAGCATCAAAATAGGGCCAGGGATTTAGGTCAGTGGCACCACACCTGCCTCAAAAGCGCATGGTCTTGAGTTTGATCCCTGGTACCAAAAAAAAAAAAAAAAAATAGCATCAAAACCCATCTGCCCAGGATGCTCAAGGGCCCTCCCTTCTAGAAAGAAGAGCAAGGAACTGACTGCAAGACCTCTTCTGGACTTTTCCATTCTCAGAACTTAGTATGCCTCCAGACTCAGCCTGGAATTATGATTCATTTGGTTGCAGTATAAAAACAAATTGGGCCAGGGATTTAGCTCAGTGGCATTGCACTTGCCTTGCAAGCGCAAGGTCCTGAGTTCGATCCCTGGTACCAAAAAAAAAAATTAATCTCCTGATTGAAGAAAAAAGGAAATTCACATTCAAAATGTGCCTAAAGAAAAAAAGGAAATTCATATTCAAAAGAGCAGAGAATGAATGGAAGAAAGAAATGCCAGAAACAAGAAAAGTTCTTTCCCTCTTCCACTATTACTTTTGGTTTCAATATCACTTCATAAAGTCCACTTAGTGAAACTGACTGCAGAAGATATATTTCGCCTTCGGGCTCTGCCTTCTGTGATCAGGAGTAGACTGAGGGACCTTCTAGAAGTCTCTGATGACCCCAGAAGAAATCTTCCCGTCCTCACTGCAGTCTGGTGGGGCAAGCTCCTGGAAGCTCAGCTGAGCCAGATTGCTCATATGATGAGGATGGACAGGAGGAGGATGGCGAATAATCAAAGGGAAGATAGATAGCAGGGACTTCAAGGACTCCAGGGACATGCCATCTGAAGCAAACTGACACTGATATCAACTTCTAGGAAATGATAGAGGCAGATAAATTGCTCAGGCAAGAAAAAAGACATGGGATGACCCAGTTTAAGCAAAAAAGTAATTTGCTAATCACAAAGCAAAGAAATAACACAATAGGCTCCTCTCGCCACTCACACACAGCAGGTGTAGCCATTACCCAGATAGCATAGGAGACAGATAAGGAGATGAACCCTAATGCGACTGGGACTCAAACCATGGAGGGAGAGCTGTTTCCAAACAAGAGCTCACCCCAAAGAAAAACTGGCAGCCAGTGCCACCTGCAGAGGAAAGATATATCTTCTGCTGGCACCAGCTCTCCAGAGCTGACAGGCTGATATATTCTGCTGAATAAATTGGAAAACTTTCAAGTGGTCTAAAAAAGGTAGGCTGAAGTAGACAGCACTGCAGGGATCCAATCAAGCTAAAAATGTCAGGAGCCAGTGGCAACATCCACCCCAGGAAAAAGCCTCACAGACTCTGAGTTAAGTGCAAATGAGAAAATACCACAGTGAGTTTTGTTTCTTTGTGTGTGTTTCGAATTTGTGTGTGTGCATATGGCTGTGTGTTGTGATTTTTAAAAACAGATACAAAACTGTTCTTTTCATGTAAAGAGAAAAGTAAGCACAAGAAGTATTTTTTCCTGGCACACAACAGTGTTACTTTCTCCTGGAATTTTTCCTTAGGGTTTTTACTCTACCTGGAGCTGACCTTACCTTCCTCCTGGCTCTGCTCAAGCCTTGCTTCCTCCAGAAATCTCTTCCAAAGGAATATGACCCTCATCGATCATGCCTCTGGGTCCGTGGGTGCTTTACTCATGGCCTGAGCCATTCATTATGGACCCTCAATATGGAGCTTAATTAAACACTGTCTTACCTTCTCCTAATTGCTTCCTGTGGGTAAATTTTACCTTCCCAACCTAACGGTATGATCCTTGACAGCAAGGCGTATGTCTGATACATACATTTTGGCATATATTTCCATGTCTAGGCTGTGTATATAGTGTTTATCTCTTGTCATTTTATTTGAGGAGTAAGAGAAAGAGTTTCTTCCATGCAAATATCTTCCTTCCCTTGTGTATATTTCCTTTATTGATTCATTTTGCTTAGGAAATTGGCTCAATTACAGTACTTATGATTTCTAGGATGATTCATAGCTTAAACTATGGAATCTACTGAGGCACAAGGTGACAGTTTGGGGCTTCAAGACCGGTTTGGCTCCCCCTCCATTACTTCCTGATGATGTAATCTTAACAACATATTCACATTTCCATGTAGTCTGTTCACTTATAAATTGGGGGAATAACATTCTGCTGATGAGGATTGTGTGACAGCTAAAAGAAAAAAAAGTGCATGTAAAATTTAGCCTGTAGTGGGCACTTAATAAATATTAGCTTTCTAAAGCCACAGCAACAATATTGAGAGAAAACAGTCTAAGATTTAAAATAATGCAAGCTGACAAAGGAGCCTGCTGCAGTTTCCTGGATGCTGGCAGAAGCCAATAGAAAACTAAGCCAGAGACAATGAACAAGAATGTGACACAGCAAAGCACATGAACTTTAAATTCACATGAGTTCTCTCATCCTGAGTAGCACAAGGTCTGGCCCAGCTGAGGCACTCTAAGCCGGGGAACCCAAGCCTTTTATAATGGGCTACAAGCAGACTTGTCCAGCCCTTGATCTGAGGGGCAGGCGGAAACGGTGTCCTTATATGCTAGATAGTACTCATGCCTGACTTCTGCTCTAGAAAGTGGTAACTATAGCTTTCAGGGCTGTTTGGTACAAAAGCATCCAAAAACAAAACAAAAAAAATCAGTCCAAAAGAAGCTGTCTGCACCTCTGCTCTCAATGTGCATGAGAAGCAAGCAATCCGTTGAGAACAATCTCTCAGAAATACTAGCAAGGAGCTTACAATCAGAGGGAAAGACAGGAAGTAACTTCAAGTGTTAACAGATAGAAGCTGGGCACCATAGTGCAGTCCTAGCTATTTCGGAAGCTGAGGCAAGAAGATTGCTTATACTAGGAATTCAAAGCCAGCCTGGGCAACAACAAAATTAACAGATAGGGAAATAAGTATTATTCAAAAAAAATCATCGAATATAATAAATGCATATAATTTTTTAAATACCATGCAGCTCTAAGGGAGATACGTCCTCATCTTTACTGGCATGGAAAATGTTTATGACATATTGTTTGTTGAAGAAAGAACATCTAAAAAATAAGCATAGGGTACTCCAACCAATACTTACAGGTAAATAATTTACATGGCATATTTTAAATTGACAACAGTTAATTTCATTTATATGAAATATTAAATTCACATGTATGTATAATACTGCTCTGAAAAGATACAAAATCCACTGTGCCCTCCACTTAAAAGCTGTGGTAGGAAATGATGAGAAAAGGACAGGGGCCCCAGCAGTCTTCCTCGGGGAGGCAGTGTTGGAGTAGAATTTCAATGAGACGTGAAGAGTGGGAAGAGTGAGACATAGAAATAAGAGGACACAGTAAATTTGGACTAGCATGATGGGATCATGGAAGAGTATGAGTTATCCGTAAAACTGCACCATCATCTGGAGTGAGCAGGGATGTGAAAGCAGAAGGTGGGGCAGAGAGGGCTGACTCTGCCTCCCATCCAGTTTAGTTATATGCCCGTATTAATACTACTCAAATTGCTTAAAGAAAGTTTCCAATAGAAGAGGAATTAAAAAAGGAAATATAGTCTTCACTCTAACTCACCTAGTACCTTAACTTCTTTTTAAAGACACACACACACACACACACACACACACAAGACATTATCACAAAGAGAAGGTCTTATTAGGAAATATGCTCAGCATTCACACAAGCTATTAATTCTAATATAATTTTGAAGAAGATTCATCTATTAATAATTCCATTTATAAAGTACTGTGAGCCTCATGTTTCTTATACACAGCAATGCCCCAACATGAGGTAGCACCCCTGTTTTCTGGCTGGGGATCTTCCCTGAGAGCCTAAAAGTGCACATGATGGATAGCAGAGGAATGGGAGTCCCCGACCTAAGTCCAGCCCTTATGCACTTTCCGAACCATCACCAAAATGTACAGTGCTGAGTCAAACAGCTACACCAAATGTGACATTTCCTTAATAATTATGTTCTCAGGATCAGAATTTTCTTGGATGTGTTAAAGACAGGGTTTAACCAACAGCTCCACCATGAGTACAGCAGCAAAGCAGTAACAGAACTGGTCGATACAGAAATTCATCTTCATACCACACATGGTTTACACTTCCCCATTTATAGTATTTTTTTTAAAGACAAGTTTACCAACAATAATCTGTAATTATTTCTGCAATGAATATGAATAAGACAGCAATGTTTCTGTTTCAGGCCATATTCTCTAAATTGTTTTCAAACAATCCCAAAACACTCCTAGCAGGTTGGAGAACCGAATTCTCAGTAAATATTGTCATAACTGTTTATACTTTGAAGAAATAATTTTTTTCTTTTTTCCCCCTAATGAGAATAAAGAATATGGATAAACTGGAGTTTAATTAACTACATTGTGGAGAACTTTTCACATAGGATTTGGTTTGTGTCATGTAACTGCTTGCAATATTGAAAAATACTAGAAGCTTAAAATAAGAAAAACACCACTGTGTTACCATTAAGGATGGCCACCGAAGATCCCTGTCCTGGAATTTACACACTTGTGTAGCTCCATTCTGATCCTCAGTCTGTCTATCTATCTGTCTCTCTGTCTCTCCTTCTTTCTCTCTCCCTCCCTCTCTTTAGCTGCCTTTTAAGCACCCTGTGGAGAGGTCCACACGGTAAGGAACTGGGCCTTCGTACCAGAGCCGAGACTTCCAGCCAACAGCCACATGAGTGAACCATGCAAGTGAGCCATGTGAAATTTCTCCTCCCACCTTATTAACTTCAATGTGATGACTGCCCTTCTCAGTAACTGCAATCACGTGACAGACTCTGAACCACAATCACCGACTTAGCTACTCCCCAATCCTAACTGTCAAAACCTGTGAGGAAATGAAGTGTTTGATGTTATAAACTGGTAAGTTTGGTAATGTTGTTAGTTATAAATAGAGACAGATGTCACTCATAGCATTCCATTTGAATCCTCTTGCCCATTTACTCTAGGTAACCATGCAGCCTATTAATAATACTTTTATCACAGAGGAGCAGAGCCCCGCCCAGCATCAAGGAGGTGAGCCATGCAGGCGCCAGCAGCACACAACCCTCCAACCCCCACCCACAACTGAAATGAGAAGACACAAACAAATCTCAAAACCAGACTTTCAGATCACCTAAAGCAACCGCAAAGGGAAATGAGATGGAACAATCTGATACTCAACCACCTGGACTCCCTGAACTTGTGACAATAGAGGATCTGGAAAAAATGAAATCAGAAATAATTTCTCCTTTTTTTTTTTTTTTTT